CACCCCAACTGTCCCCACAGGTGCCCCATCTGTCCCCATGTGCACCCTGACTGTCCCCCTGTCCCCCCAGCCCGCCGTCCGTCTGTACATCCCCAGCCCCCCCGGGCCGGGGGTGGCCGCGGGGGGGTCCCCCCCTCCTCTGCCACCCCCCCCGGAGGAGGACGTGCTGCCCGACGTGTTCTCGATGCTGCCCCACTTCGCCGACCTGAGCACCTTCATGATCCAGCAGGTCATCAACTTCGCCAAGGAGATCCCTGTCTTCAGGTGGGTGCGTTTGGGTGGGGGGGCACACACGGGGCTGGGACCTCCCTGTGTCACCCCGGTGACGTCCCCTCGCGCCCCCCACCCCCAGGAGTTTGCCCATAGACGCCCAGATCTCGCTGCTGAAAGGGGCCACGCTGGAGATCTGCCAGATCCGCTTCAACACCGTCTTCAACGCCAACACCAAGGCGTGGGAGTGCGGCCAGCACTGCTACACCATCCGTGACGGGGCGCTGGGTACGGACCTTGGGGATGGCCAGGGGGGCATGGGGACGGCCCTGCGCCCCTCCCGGGTCACCCTGTCACCCCCCCGTCACCCCCCCAAAGCGGGGTTCCAGCAGGTCTACCTGGAGCCACTGCTCAAGTTCCACGAGAGCCTGAGGCGGCTGCGCCTGCACGAGGCCGAGTACGCCCTGCTCCAGGCCATGCTGCTCTTCTCCCCAGGTGGGCACCGCGCTGGGGGGGCACGGGGGGGGACGGCTGGGTGTCCCCCGGGGCCTCGCTGATGTCCCCTCACCCCCCCCCTCAGGCCACGCCGACATCGCCCAGCGCGACCTCATCGACCAGTTCCAGGAGAAGGTGGCCCTGACCCTCAAGAGCTACATCGACCACCGGCACCCCGAGGGCAGGTGGGTGCTCAGAGGGGGGTGGCAGCGTCCCTGGGGGGTGGCAGGGATGGCACCCTGGCAGGCATGTCCCTCACCCCCCCCTTCCCCAGGTTCCTGTACCCGAAGCTGCTGCTGCTGCTGACGGAGCTGCAGACGCTGAAGGTGGAGAACACGCGGCAGATCCTGCACATCCAGGACCTGTCCTCCATGACCCCCCTGCTCTCCGAGATCATCAGCTGACCCCCAGCCGGGGTGGCACCCCCTCGGTCCCCAAGTGCCACCACGGGGGACAGAGTAAAGCTCCTTTATTCAGCCAGGCCCCCCCGGAGCCAGCCCGTGTGTCACCTGGGGAGGGGGGACTGAGGCACGGCCGGGTGGCACCACCGGGGACAACGGGAACCCCCGGCCCCCCCCTGGGGACCCGTGGCAGCAGCCGCACCCACGCGGTGGCACCGGGGACAACGGGCCCCCCCCGTGCTGTCACACGGTGTCCCCAAGGCCACGGCGTCCCTGTGGCCCCCCTGGGGCCAGGCCTGGCAGCTCCCTGAGCAGGACAGTGCCCCCCGTGCCCCCTGTGCCCCCCGTGCCCGCTGTGCCCTCAGCCCACGGTGACGCTGAAGCCGCAGTGGAACCGGTTCCTCCAGTGGTTCAGGAAGGCGCCCAGGGCCAGCGTGACGGGCAGGGGGGGCAACTTCTTCTCCAGCACCCCCCCCACGCTCCAATTGCTGTCCAGGAGCCCTGGGGAGGGGGTAGTGGGATGAGGGGGGTGATCTCCAGGAGGGGGGCACAGGGTGGGGGCCAGCCAGGATATAGGGGGGGGGCCTCGCCCACCTCT